TGTGCTGGCTGGAGCCTAAGCAACCATTTTATACCACAAGGTCAAAGTTACATGAACAATATGGAAGAAAAAGATGGGAGGAACCTGGGTCCCTGAAGAATGTAGCAACTTCCTGTCTAAAATCTTCAATTAAGTTAGGGGCTTAGGTTTTTGTTTTGTTTGAGACAGGGTCTCGCTATGTAGTTCAGGCTGAACTTCTTGCTATGTAGCTCAGGCTGGCCTTAAACTCACAATCCTCCTGCCTCAGCCTCCCAAGTGCTGAGATTACAGGTGTGCGCCACCTGGGACTTGAGACTTTACCCCTGAGCCTTGGTCTTCCCATCCAGAAGTGGGGATCCTAGTGGCAGACTCTGCAGGGTCATCGGGAGAGATCAGTGGAGGATGCATGAGCCCCCAGCCCTTTGCAAAGCACTTTAGAGCTGACACAGCTAGCGCAAGTTATCCATGGGGCTCCGAAACTCCAGTGCATCCAGACCACCCAAGGGCTTGTTAGCACACAGCACTGGCTCCCACTCTAGGGCCCTGACTTAGCAGATCGAGGTTCCCCCAGATGAGGCAGTGACATTTACATCAAGCACACTCAACAGGAGGCTGAGGACCACCTGCAGCCACTTCCCACTCCTCAGTGTGCACAGATAACCACGCTCTCTTGAGGGAGGGCATCAGCTGCCATGGCCCACCGCTAGGCAAGAGTGGGCCCTTGCTGCATACCCTGCCCCACCTGGCCCTCTGCCTCCTTCCTCTTTGCTGGGTCCCGCTGGGGTAGGGGCCGCCCCTGTGTGTCATCCTGGGTCTGCGGGGAGCCAGGAGTAGTTCCATCCTGACTCTTCCTCCCCGACTCAGGGTGACTCAGCAGCCCCTACAAGCTGTCATCAGCCGAAAGTCCCCACTGCTCCCCCGGCAGGAACAGACTGGCGCTGGTTGGATCTTCACACTAGTACCTGGAGCGCGGCCCCGAGCCTGCTGCCATCTGCTGGTAGTCAGCGATACTGCAGGCAGCTGCCCGCCCATACTTCCCCGAACGACCCCAAGGGGCGGGAGGCTCTGGCCAGTGCGGCTCTCACAGAAGACAGGGCCGTGCCATCGAGTTCGTTGGGAGATCTGTACCAGTGCCACACGACCATCACCGCAGTCTATTCCAGAGCTCGGTCACCACCCCAAAGGAACCCCATCCCCGTCTGCATCTCACCCCCTTTCCCCAGCTCTCCTCAGCCCCGCCAAACACAGATCTACTGTACTCTTGGTCTCTGGATTTGCTCCTTTTTTTTTTTTTTTTTTTTTTTTTTGAGACAGGGTCTCCCTTTGTAGCCCAGGCTGGCCTCAAACTCACAGAGACCCTCCTGCCTTAGCCTCCCAGAAGCCAGCATCGCAGGCATGCACCACCACACCCAGCTAAAGTGTCTAGTCATTACAGCAGCTGTGGGAAGCAGGTGTCATGGCCCATCCTTTGCAGAGGAGAAACTGTGGATCAGAGAGGTGGGAGGTCGTACCTGCCTCATCAGCCTGTGACTGGAGCATGGAGGCTGAGCCCCGCCCTCCTCCCTAGCCACACCCTACCCTCCACCCTTGGCATTTGCCCTTCTGGCACTGCAGGGCTGCTCAGAGGGCACAGTGGCCAGGACAGGTGGGTGCTCCCAGGGTGCCAACCAGGGGACAGGTAGGGGTGGCCAGGGCACTAGGTGTTGGCTCCAAAGAGCACGGTCCTGACTGGCCAATCAGGGAACTGCCAGCTTTTCCTGAGTGTCTTGAGTACCAAGGGTCTTGTTGCTTTAGAGCTGGCCCTCGACGCTGCAGGCTCCAGGTAGACAAGTACACGCGTCCCCTCACATGCGGACGGGCTGGAGCACTTGGCTGTACTGACGTGTGCCAGATGGGACACAGGGGTGGGTGGAGAGAGGAAAAAAGGAAGGGAGGGAAGGAGGTGGAAAGAAGGAAGCAAGGCAGACGAAGGGATGGACAGGTAGATGGAGAATCACAATGCCATTCTCCTGAGCTATGAGAAGGTAAATATTACTTACTTAATCAGTGCTAATAAACAAATTCTACACGTTTCTGTATTGAATCCAGCCTGCCCACAGTGCGGTTCCCAGCCCACCCTTGTGCTCCCTGTGCCCCCACAAGACTTCCCATTGTCTCGCACCCCGGGCCGGGTCCCCAGCCCCCAAGAATAGCCCTATAGAAAGGGCACTCATTGGCACTGTCTGTCCCTCAAGGGTTCCGCCCCTGGATTCCAGCAGCACTGGCCTTCCTCCTGGTAAGGCACACTGTTCACTCTGCATGGCCTATTTCTTCTCTTTTTTATTTTTTACTTTTTGAGACTGGGTCTCACTATGCAGCCCGGGCTGGCCTTGAACTCATGGCCATCCTCCTGCCTCAGCTTCCTGAGTGCTGGGATCACAGCATGTGCCACCTTGCCTGGCTTCTGCATGGCCCCCCAAGTACCACTATGGGAGCCCCATGGGAGCCCTGAGGAAACGGAGTTGGGGAGCAGCAGAGGCCAGACCTGGGCTCAGGGCCCCCTGCCATCCTGTGGTGGAAGGGCTGAGGTCACGCAGTACCAGCTCTGCGCTGGCCTCTTTCCCACCCAGAACCCTCACCCTGTCCCCCAGTGTGGACGCAGTAGTGGGCACTCAGGCACAGTGAGGGCGCCTCAGGCACACAGCCACCCCAGTCCGAGAGGGGACAAAGGTGGTCCAGGGACACAGCCAGCATCCTCCATGTAGGCATCTCAGCCTCCCAGGTGACCTGGGACGACTGGTGCGGCAGCCAAGGACCTGCTGACTACTCCCAAGGGCTCTTCTTTAGTTTTCAGTCTGCTCAGCAACATACACACATTTGCTTATTTATTCATTCATTCTACTTTATTTTGTGTGTGTGTGATACTGGGGATCAGCCTCAGGGCCTTTGCACCGAGCGATACTCCCAGCCCTTTTTACTTTGAGACAGGGTCCCACTAGGTCACTAAGTTGCTTAGGCTGAGCTTGACCTTGTGATCCTGCTGCCTCAGCCTCCCAAGTGCTGGAAGCACAGGTGTGTGACACTGCATCTGGCTGGGATTACACTGTCATTCTATGCTCAGCCTTTTGGTTCCCATTCTTGCTCCTGACATGTTCCTGACCCTGAGGCCTCAATGAGCAAAGACTCTGCCCTATCCCCTTGGCTTCTCTCTCCTCCTCTCTTCTCTCCTGCAGGGCCAACAGGTGGGGGAGGCCATACTCCCCAGAGCCTCTGGGACATGTCACCCGGCCCAGAGGACACCTTTTCGTGGAGTGGAGGGGACAGTCTCCAGCTGCTGCCCATTCCAGCCAGGCCCTCCGCAGAGCAGGTGGCCAGGACCGGGCTGGGTTCTCACCTCTCGCCGCTTTTCTGCTTGCACCGCACCTGTGGTGATACCCCGACAGGCTGCACCCTCCAGGGAGCCCAACTTCCAGCTGGGAGCCTCTCATCACTCCCACCCGCACCTAGCAGAAGTGGGGTCTGTCTCCCTGGGGTCCCCTGTGGCGGGCGCCCCTGATCCTCTGTGCTCATCTGCCTGGGCGGCTCAGGTGGCAGACACGGGTCAGCTCTCAGGCCTGAGGGCCGAACTCCAAGGTCTAGGTGTCCGCCGGGTGGGGCCCGTTCCGTCCCTCCCCAGCTCTGCTGCCAGCTGTGCTGTGGAAGCCCCGCCCTGACGCTGCCTCATGTCACGTGGCGTCTCCCTGTATGCATGCGCATGTGAGGCTTGTGTACACGTGCATGCGTGTGGATGTCTGCGTCTTTTCCGAAAGGCATCGGTCACGCTGCATAGTGACCCCCCCACATCTGTGTGGCCTCCTCTTAACCAATCACATCTGCAACAGTCCTGCTTCCAGGTAAGGCTGCATCCTGTGCACTGGGGGTGAGAACGCCAGTGTATGAGTTGCAGCCCCTAACTCCCTCCTAACCCACCTCTGAAACGAAGCTGCTCAACTTCCTCCGAGGGTCAGAGACTCCCGCAGCTGCAGAGGATGCATTTTCCACCATCAAGTATGTCTTCAGTATCAGCCTGGAGCCCGCGGTGCCTTCCTCCCCAGGAGCCGCCCACTGACGCCCAATGCTGAGTGACTACTAGGCCTGGGCACTGTCACCCCCCAAGCCCCAGCTTCCTCATCTGCCAAGAAGTCCTGCAACTCCTGTCCCGCTTGCTTTGCTGCGGAAGGAAGTGCAGTGCCTCTGTTCCTGCAGCTGCCCTGAGCGCTAGCCCCTCAGGGACCACGTCTGTGCTGATGGTCGCTCAGGGCCCCTTGCCAAGTTCTTCACTCCTGCTGCATTCTGGGCTGGCTCCAGGGTCTCCAAGCCCAGCCAGGGCGGAGGAGCAAGGGGCCCTGTCCTCCGGGACCCAGGCCACAGCCTGCAGGTGCCGGGAGAGGCGAGAGCAGCAGTGCTGGGAGAAGTGTGGGAGGCACTGGGTCCAAGACAGAGCCCGGCCACCGCTTCCCTTGCAAGTCAGGTGCCTCTCGGAATCTCACTCACGCAAGGACACGAGGTCCTGTGGGAGCCTGCAAGGTCGAGGGAAGGAAGGGATGTGGCCTGATGTGGCACTTGTCCTCAAAACTGTCCCCAGAGAGGCCTGCAGCTTCTGGAGGAAGGAGTTTGTGGAAATTCTAGTGCTAGGTGAACTGCTTTTCCTTGCTGTCTCCACACAAATGTCAGACACACCCAGGGACACACAAACACACATGTGCATGCACACACGGTGCACATGGGCACAAGGACACACAAACACTCGCACACACATGCAAGCCTCTTCTCCCAGTGCACACAAACCACCTACTGGTTTCAACCCCAGGGGCCTCGAAGCCCAGTCCCCTGAGCTCAGCCTGACCCCCAACCTCAGAGCTGTCACCCCAGCTAGTGACAGCAAAGCTCTGCATCGTCTTCAGCCTGCGTCACACCCAGCAAAGGACAGAGTAGAATAAAATACTTTAATGTTCCCATCACATACCCCCTCGCTGTCACTGTGCGCCCCTGTGAGCTGCTGGGACAGTTGGGGTGGCATCTCAGGGCGTATTTTCTGCCAGCCTGCCCGCATCCCTCATCCACATGACCCTCAGCATCTTGCAGCACTCCGTGGGGCCTCAGCTGCAACTCCTCAGCTCCCATATGCCCCTCGATTGAAATTCCAGGCTCCAAGGGTCAGAGCGAGTCCCCCTGTTGCCAGCTCAGAACCCCGTGGTGGCCCAAACATGCAAAGGCTCCTGGTCCCAGTGGCCACCTGGGCCCTGCTTCTTCTGGCGCCGCCGGCGGGGCTGCACACCCTCACCTGGGACCTGGGCTGGGCTGGTCTGGAGCAGCCGCACCAGCTCGTGGTCCCTGTGGTCCAGCACACGGGGCAGGAACAGGGAGGACTTCTGTGTGCGGCGGGTCTTGAAGCCCCTGCGGGGCCGGCCCTTGCCATTCACAGACACGTACCAGAGTCTCTCGGCACCCGGCTGCCACCGTGCCCCCGGCCCGCTGGGTGCCGTGCGGTACAGGCGTGATGCGTACGTGTTGTAGCCCAGCTCATGGATCCGCTCCACGAACTCACACTCGGCGCTGTAGTGCTCCTGCAGGAAGAGGCTGTGGTCAGTGGCTACAGGAGGCCAGGATGGCACTGGAGAGGGGTCAAGGACTCCGCCTTCCCTGCCTCTCCTCTCTGGGACCCCAGCCCCTAGGCCCCATCTAAGGATGCCAGCTCTGGGGAGTCCCAGCAGGGGGACCCATAGATTGTCTGGAGCAGAGACTGGGTCTTCCTACTCTGGGGCCCTAGGTGGCTACCAGCTTCAGGGACCAGATGTGTCGACAGCAGAAGCGGGTGGAATCCCAGGACTGCTGAAGAAATTGCACAAAAGAAAAAACAGCCAGGAATGGTGTCTCACATCTGTAGTTCCGGGTACTTGGGAGACGGAAGCAGGAGGATCGCTTAAGCCTGGGAGTTCAAAGACACCCTGGGCAATGTAGTGAGCGCCTTTCTCAACGAGAGGAACAGGAAGAGGAAGGAGGAGTGGGGGAGGAGGAAGAAGAGGAGAAGAAACACCAGAAATAGGGTGGGAAGGGGTTCCCCGTTACATGCTGAGTTCAGGTCCCAGCCCTGACCACTGCCCTCTGAAAGTCACCATCTTGGCCTCAAGGGTCCCTCCTCCCACCGCCTCCATGAAGGAGCTTAGGGATACTAGGAGCCTGGCGGCGGGGGCGGACATGCTCAACAAAAGTCACAGCACGCTGCTCTTAGGACGAGAGCAGAGCCTCCAACACACACAGGGACTGAGAGCATTTTAGAGACTAATGGGGCTGTGCCAGGCCTGGGGTAAGACAAGGGGTGATGTGGGGGTGTCCCCACCCTCTCAAAGGCACAAAGTCAAAACCGAATGAGCTTTCACCAGAGCCCCCAGACCCAGCATCGGGCTTCCTTCCAGGTCCCAGTGTGGGCGTCACTACTTAGGATCAAGGTCCACAGCCTATAGATGGAGAAACTGACTCCCAGGATTAGTGCTAGGCCCCAAATCCCAGAGGATGTGACATCACTGTGGCCGTGGCTGACTGTACCGAAGGGCCCAGGGTTGTCTGGGAATGAGTGTGGGTCAGGACACGCTGTGCTGTGCTCACATCTGCCTTCTAGGTGGGATCAAGACAGACTCGGGCTATCCTGACACTTCTTCCTGGTGCCCCAGTCCTGGGGCAGGTGTCTTTCTGGGCCAGGGAAGTCTTCTTTGGAGGGGCACAGGCTCATCCTCTCAAAGAGCAAGGGGCTCGGGAGGAGCAATTTGGGGTAGGTGACTCCCCATGGGGGAATCAGGTGTGGCCTAGATGACCAGGAGGACGGTGTCGGCTCAGGGGCCAGGGCTCGGCCTCCAGGCCAGCTGAGCTGGGAGTCGCCAAGGGGACAGTTCTCCAGGCCCATCTTGACACTGCTGTCCCACCACCCCCTTGCTCCACAAGCCTCTCCACAGAGACATCTGTACCCCAGGAAGTGGACTCAAAGACACCTTGTGGATGAGGTGACATTTAGAGTCACAGAGAGGGATGGAGAAGGGAAGTCTCCAGGCAGGGACACTATGAGCAGAGGGGACACAACCTGTCTGGAGAATTGAGAGGCACACCAGAACTAGAGGGGGGCACAATTTCCAGAGCAAAAAGGAAGGAACACAAGCACCATCTGCTCCTCTGCAGCTGGGGCTGGGCGCCAGGGTTCACTGAAGGCCATGAGCAGATTTGCTTTTTAGGAAAGTTACTGCAGTGTGTCCCTAGGGGAGCATGTCATAGTTAAGGGCCAGGGCACTGACAGGAATGAAGGAGTGGCTTAGGTAGATGGACAGATAGATGGATGACGGATGGATGGATGAGTAGATAGATGGAAAGAAAGAGAGGTAAGAAGGAAGAAAGGAAGAGAAGAAGGAAGAGAGACAGGGAAGAAAAGAAAGAAAATGGAAAAGAAGAAAAGAAGAAAGGCTGTCTGGCCGGATGGATGTGTAGGTGGATTCATGGATGGATGGGGATGGATGTATGGATGGGTAGATAGATTACTGGATGCATGAGTAGATCCATGGATGGATGGACGGATGCATGCATGCATGGGTAGATATATGGATGAGTGCATGGGTGGGCTGGAGGAGAGAGGTGGCAGGCAGTTGCTGGGTCCCAAGGCTATCACAGTGGTCCAGATGGGGAGGGACAAGGGCCTGTGTTACAAGGATACTGGCCTCTGGGACAAGGTAGAGGGAGATGAGATGTGTGGAATGAAGAGAGAGATTTAGGAAGTATTGTCTGAGGACTTGGAGATGACTGAATGTGGGCTTGAGATGGAAGGAGGGGTGGTCTTCCATGGCTCCCAGCTACCTTGGTGCTGGAATGAGTGGCTTCTGGACCATGCTTGAGGCAGAAGAGTCAGTGGTGAGCTCAGTGGTGTGCTGTCTGGGGTTTCTGGACCATCAGGACTTCTGGGGCAGGTCAGGGCTGGCACTGGAGTGGTCACAGTGGTATGGTCACTGGCCACGGGAGAGGAAAAGCAGGCTAACACTAAGGTCCAGGGCACTCAGCCCAGGGGCTGGGAAGAGGGAATAACACAGGCACCTTGACAACTCAGAGCAGATAACTGACAAGGCACTGGTGCCCCAGGTGTCCGCAGGGCAGTGAGAACCTCTCTGCTGGATACTCTGGGAAGTTCCATACCATCTGTGGCCTCATTGTCTCATGGTAAGTCTGAGAGTCTTGTACCCTCCTCCCCCCAAAGCATAGGCTATTAGCTCTCAAAAACAGAAGCCAGAGGTGACATCTGACCCTCTGGGATCTCCAGGGCAGGCCTGGGTCTCCCATGGGAAGGGACAGCAGAGGACCTGGGCTTGTCTCCCGAGTGGACTCCCTGTTCTGCCTTGTGACATTCCCCAGTGAGGACAGGATGCCTCCCCTGTGGACAGGAAGACCCAAGCCATCACTGAAAGCCACCAAGCCCTTCCTGGGGTGTCTCTCATCTCAAGAGGGAAGAGCAACTGGGGGAGTCAATTTCAGGAAGCAGTGAGCTCCCCTCCATTGCACCAGAGACCAAGGGACGGACGGATCCAGACAGCCCCAGCCTACCTGAAGAGACAGAAAACCCAACACTGGGCCGAGGCATGTTCTTATAAACACACATGGATCAGGACGCCAAGGGACCTGCAGAGCGCCCCATGCCAGGAGCTCCTGGGTCTATACATAAATTCTAGTGTGTGGCCCCCAGGCCTGAGAAAACACATGGCTGCACCCCGACTTGTGCATTTCCTGTAGCAGAACAGCTGGAAATCTGTGATAAAGTAACCAGCTACAAGAAGGGCCTGACAGACTTCAAAGGGGGCAGGGAGATGTTAAGATGTTTCCCTGAAAGCCAGATGGAATCGAGAGAGGGGTAACTCACTGCAGGATGCTAGACTGCAGCTGGGGCTGCGTCCTCTAGCTTACGTGAGGCTGGAAACTCTCACTGTCCAGGGAGGTAGCAGCCAAAGGGCTCACCATCACTGGCTGGAGGTAGCACATTTCCTCCTCCAAGGGCTTCCTGGGCACTGCTGGTGCCCACAAGATGACAAGGTCCTTTCTGACCACATAAGGTCCAGGCAGTGTACTCCTGGGGCCCTTCTCTCACCCTCTTGGCTCCCTCCTAAGCCTTCCAGCCTGGGGACAAGAGGCTGAGCCCACCCAGTTGCCTCCTTTCTCGTGCCCAGGCCATCTCTGTTGAACCCAACAGAAGAGCTTCTGCTCCCCACTTTGTCCTCAGGTTCTCCTGGGTCTATTTATTTCAGTGACAATTTGAGGGGCCATCTTGCCCCTGTTCTCAGCCAGGTTCCGGAAGGGTAATAGAAATAAGGTTTAGGGGAGAGCTTAGGATGTGTCCAGCCCCTGGTATGACCCTCCCTGAGGGCTGTACTCCAAGTCACACCCTGGGGCTGCCTCCCCCAGAAGCACGCAGAGCTCTGGGTATGATTCATGGACCGACCCAGAGGAGTTCTGGTCCATGTCTCTCCTCCCTCCACTCTGATGTCACAGCAAGAGACAGACTCCATTGGTACCCACCTACTGCAGAGATTGGACTCACCGAAGCATAGAGCCGACCCCTCCTATTCATGGCCAAGTACCGCCCAGAGAAGAGCCCCTTGATGGCCACAACACCCACTTCCACAGCCGTAATCTCCAGGATACCTGGGAAGAAGAGTCAGGAAGGCCCGTCACTTCCTCTGCTCCCGGAACCACAGAGGTGAGCGCTAAGCATGGCAGGTCCCACCCATATTGCATTCAGTCTCTGGACAGCAAGGCCACCCCATGCCCAGTGGGTGGGGGGTTTGGAGTTCAGGGAGAAAGAAGGCACTGGACAGGACTTGGAGAGGGGCACTGAGGACAGTCACTCAGTCCTGGGAGGGTGACAATGAAATGCACACGTACTCAGGCTGTCTCTGCCAGGCATCATGAGCAAATCATGTGGCCCATTAGAGCCTCACATGCCCTAAACAGTTGGTTTCCTAGGACAGACCAGCAAGCAGAGACTACCTCGGCCGGTGACCAGCCCAAGACCACACATGGAGTCAGAGTGGGAAGAAGCCCTGCAGCCACGGATGGAGCCCTGTGTCCTGAGCCCTGAGCCAGTTCTGGAAGGCTGGGGCTCTGAATATAATTCAGTGGGTGCCATGAAAACCAGACTGCCAGTGTTTTGGGGTGGGAGATGATTGTCAAGGCAGAGGGGCCAAGTCTGGAGCTCCCAGTGGGAAGCTGGCCAGGCCTCACCCTCTCCCAGGTGTATGCAAGAAGGTAAAATCTCCCTCGTGCCCTTCCTCTTTGTACAAGAGAGCCCTCTGGAGGAGGGGTGTTGGGGCCTGCAACTTCCCAGGCAGGGCCATCTTCCCCCAAGAGGGTTCCAGGGGGGTTGGGGGCCCCACTAACATCCTCTCCAGGGGGCGCCTGGCACCCGGCAGAGCTATAATCACCCGAATCAGTAAGGCCTTGCTTCAGGGCTCTGGGGTGCAGACTATAGTACTAGAATTCTCGAATGACAGTCTGGGCCTTGGGGACCAGCTAAGTGGGAGTCCGGATGCCCAGCAGGGCTAGGTGCACACCCTCCACCTCTGGGCAGCCTGCCAGGGTTGCACCAGGAAATTTGGATGCTCTGCAACCCCAAAGGAGGCCTGGATTTGGAGTGAACCGCAGAATGTCTCTCGGAGAGGAGCCCTGGCCCCCGGGACCCCCTGGCGACAGCTAGTTCCCACAGTGGGCTCTGGAGGCTTCCGCCCAAAGACCCCCTCGCCGGGCTGCGGCTTTCCCTTAGGAAGCTGCGGTTTCCTACAGCCGCCTTGAACCCGCCGCACAGCTTCCTGCACCCGGGGCCTGAGCGAGCCCTCTGCGTTTCAGCGAGGACCTCCGCGATCCTGGCTGCACTCCCACGCTCTCCTCTGCAGTCCTTCCGGGCCTGGCTCCGCTGGTCTCCGCCACCCAGCACCGCTGTTCGCTCTGCGGAGGGCTCAGCGAGGTCCCCGATGCCCGCAGCCAGAGGAGCCAAACTGGAGCCCACGGACTCCCTGGGGCGCGCGCGCGCGTCTCTGCGTCCGCAGACCCAGCCAGACGCCCTTGGGCGCTCCTGACCCGCCTACCGCGGCTCCCACCGGGTAGCCGGGCCCCCGCCTTTGCTCTGAGGGCGCAGATTCCAGCCAGGGAAATAATCTTTCGGTGGCCGTGGCATCCCGGAAACTGGTGTCCTCAGTGCAGAGCAGCGACGCGAGCCGGCTACCGGGCGGCCGGCCGACAGCCCACAGCCGGGAGGGCGGAAGGGACGGCGGCGCGCCCCGGGGTCCGCAGGAGGTGGAGAAGTCGTCAAAATAATAAAGTAGATGATAAATGCCTTGTCTAGCTCCTTTTCTCCGACAAATTCAAAGGGCTTAAACTTGTCAGAACCGCCAAACGAAGCCGAGCGGGGAGCCCGGGGTCACCTACTGCGCGCGCCCTTGGAGGGAGGATCCTGTTAGACGGGGACCCCTCCTGGACGGGACCCCCTCCCCGATCTCTGATCCTGGCGCGGGGATTTCCCGGACGCGGCCACGGACCCGCGGTCCCCGGGAGGCGCCCTCTGGCCTCGGGAGGCGGGCACCCGTGGCGCTGTCCTCTCTCCCGTGCCGCTCCCCGTGGGTGCCGGACACTCACTGTAGGCGCTGTTCTCCAGGCTGCCGTTGACGCGGCCGCTCGGGTGCAGCTGGAGGTGGTACTTGGTGGCGCAGTAGAGCTTGCGGCGCCGGGGCGCCCCGCCGAGGTGCTCATAGACGCCGCCACGGCCGCCCGCATGGCGCCGCAGCCGCGCCCCGGGGTCCGCCGCCGGCCAGCCAGGCTCCAGCAGGCTGAGCAGCAGGAGCCAGATCAGGCCCATCGTGGCATCGCGCCCGCCCCGCGGCGGCTGCAGGCCAGCGCGGTGCCCATGGAAGGCGCGGCGAGCGGGCCGCGGCGAGGCGCTGGGAGCGGGCTGGGGCGCGCGGCTGTGCGGACCGCGGGAAAGAGGGGAGACGGTGGGAGAGACAGCGTGGAGAGGAGAGGAGAAGGGAGGGTGAGAGAGAAGGTGGAGGGGGAGAGAGGAGAGACAGAGAGAGAGAGAGAGAGAGAGAGAGAGAGAGAGAGAGAGAGAGAGAGAGAGAGAGAGAGAGAGACTGACTTTAATTTTCACCCAGGAGCGGTGAAATTTCCGTTGCTGCGCAAAGCGCTGAAAGAAAGGACGGGTCGGCAACAAAAGGCCGATGTGGTCCCCAGGCGGAGGCTCGGGAGGGGCGGGAGCCCAGCGGGTGCGCACACTCGCCCCCCGCGCACCGCCGTCGAGCCCCGGCTCCCTCGGCCCGGCCCGCGCCCTGCGCCTCCGCACGGCCTCCGGCTCGGCAAGGTCCCTTGCCCGCCCCTCCCCCGCCCCCGCCCCCAGACCAATTATGCCTCCGAAAATTATAGATCCAAGCCTCGAGGCGGCCGCCCCAGGCCCTGTCACCCCCTCCCGCCCCCCATCAATCCCCCTGCACAATGGGGCCGCCGATGACTGATGTCCGCGAGAACGGCTTGCGGGAAAGTGGCGTTGACAAACGCCCATCAAAGGCGGCGTGTAATGAAGGGGCCCGCGGAGTGCGGCGGAGGGGAGGTCTGGGTGCGGGCGCGCGTGGGGTACCCCCGGTTGTGTCTGCACCGGACAATTCCTGCAGGAGCCGGGGCGCTGAGCTCAGCCTCCCCCAGCGAGTGGCGGGATGTGGTGGGACCGCCGCCTGCGCGCTGTGCTTTATCTTGTTTCTCCCCCGCTAGACAGACCCTCTGGCAAGCGCTGGGTTTGGGCCCGCCCGTCGAGCAGGCCCGAGAGTCCTGTCCTGGCAGTGTCCAGAGAGGGCCTGGGAGGAGGGAGGAGGAACAGAAGAGCCAGAGAAGTGGGCACGGAGACAGAGGCCTGAGATGTAGGTAGAGCAAGACAGGAGGGGGAAAGCAGGGAGAAAGAGACAGGAGAGAATATGTACGACAGAGATGCAGGAGGAGAGAGAGACCTCAAGGTAGTGGAAGACACTTGGGAAGCACGGGGAGTCTGGTGGCTGCGCAGAGGGAGAGGAGAGCAGACACCCCAAGGGCAGGGCGATACCCACCTGGTGGGCTGGGCAGTGGTGTACATGCCCAGGGGTGTCACCCCGGACTGTGTGGGAATAACATGCATTTCAGGGTGCCCTTAAGGAGAGAGGCTCCGGGCGATGATGGGAAACCATCCATCCCCATTCCCTTCTCTTGCTTCCCTGGCCTCTTTCCCTTCGGCCGGCCACCAAGATACAGGTGAGCAGGCTCCAGCAAGGCAACTCTGCTGGCTGGGGTGGAGCACCCTGAGGGGCCAGGGGTCTAGGCTTAGCCTGGGCTTCAAGTTGACTATGGATGAGACAGCTGCAGTGGCGGTCCTGTCCCTTCCATCTGGGTCCAGATTTGGGGTTCTGGGGAGTGTGCAGGAGCCCAGGGCACTCCTGTGAGCTACAGGAGTAAGCACACGCTGGGACATTTCCAGCCACCATGACCTGACTCCCAGCGCAGCCTGTCATCCTTCAGGCCACTCCAGCATGCTCAGGGACTGGGGCTGATGAGAGCCTTGGTCAGTTCAAGACCAGACACGATTTGCTAAAGCCTCAGACTCCAGCAGTGATGGAGCTTGCTTTATAGGGGACAGAGGACAGCACAGGGACAGAGCAAAAGGGGGTCCTGGCCAACAGGGCTCCCTGGGCTGGAATTTGCTTGGCACTTAAACTTCCTAAGAGAGCACAAGAAGATTCACATGAGGTGCATCTATGCCCTCAACACTGTGAATTCTGCTCCTGGGAGTCAGTTACCTCTCCACTCTGGGCCTAGATGCGGGGAGAAGGGGACAGGGGAGGGCAGGGCTTCCTGCTGTTCAGGCCCAGCCTCCTCCCTGGCTAGTGGCCCCTAGAAGACTGGGAGGAGCCAGAAAAATGGTGTGGAAGGAATCTGGGCCATGGCCTCCCTCCTCCTCCATACCCAGCAACCCCCACCCCCCATTTCCTTCTTCCTGGTCTCCAGCCTTCCCTCCAGGGTCAGCCTTTGCCCACCATGTGTCTTCCAGGACCCTAGAACCAGGGTGGGTCAGGGGCTAGGGTGGCTCCCCTCAAAGGGAATCTCTGAGAAAAGGGGGTGCTACTGGGTCTGTTCCCTGTTGCTCCCACCATAGTGGCAGCACAGGAGATACTGAGTGCCCTGGCCACTTCCTTGAAGTGTGGCCTTGGCCTTGCCACATTACCCTTGGAGAGACTGGTTCTCTGGCCAGTAATGCTCCATGAGTAGAGCCAGAAACTCAGAGGAATCAGTCCTGCCACATTTTCAGCTGCTGTCTTTGGGGAACACGGTTTGTTCTTTAAGCCTCCCTCTAGACCTTTGAGAAGGAAGTGCTGCCTTGAAGTTATGGCAGAATGTAGGCACTGTGGCCTCAGTGCCTCCCATGGTTCACTGCAGGTCCTCCTGTCCCCCCACACCCCTGACTGCAGAAGTTGCCTGAAAGCTGCCTTCAAGACAGAGGCTTCAGTGTTAGAGGGACCCCCCACAGTATGGCTGTGCCCCAGCCCACTTCCCCCAGGCCTCCACCATGAGCCTTGGCTCACCCACCCAGTGAGGATTCCTTTCCATCCCACTTGCCCAGCCTCCCAGGCCCAGGAAGCCCCAGGACCCATCCTCTGCTGATCACCTGCTTCCCAAGGGTTGGCTGCTGCCAGGAGACTAATTGAGCTCTTCTAGACCCAGCCTCAATGCCCCCTCCTGGCCCATGCCTTTCCCTACCAGTCCCAGAGTCACACCTGCACCTATATACTTTATGGGGTTTTTTTGGTACCGGAGATCGAACTCAGGTCCTTGTACTTGCAAGGCAGGAGGCGGAACCATTGAGCTAAATCCCTAGCCCTACACCTATATACTTTAAATCAGCCCTGGATGACCTAAAATACCTAACACAAGCCTGGCATGGCAGCATGCACCTGTAATCCCAGCTCCTCGGGATGCTGAGCCAGGAGGATTGAAAGTTCGAAGCCAGCCTGGGCAATTCGGTGAAACTGTCTCAAAAGGGGTGAGGGAGCACTTACCTATCATGTCTGAGGTCCTGGGTTCAATTACTAGTGCCAAAAATAGAATAAAATAGGCAAGGCAATATTTCCTGTCTGCAGTTGGTTGAATTCTTGGATGTGGAGTTCAAGAAGAGGAGGGCTGGCTGTATGCATGAAGTTGCTCAATCATTGCCACAGTGACTTGAGAACCTTTCATCACTCTGTGAAGAAACCATCTCCCTGGGGTGTCATCTTCTCAGTCCTTCTTCCCAGGGAGCTTTCTGTTTCTGTCCTTTTCCTGATCTGGGCATTTCATGTAAATGTTGTCATCCACTATTTTCCCTTTTGTGACTGGCTCCTTCTGCCAAGTGTGGTGTTTTGAGCTTCATGTGTGTCAGAACTTCCTTTTCATGGCCAGGCAGTATTCCATTGTATGGGTGGACAGTTTGTTCACTGGGTCATCTATTGATGAACACTTGGGCTGTCTCCTGGCTATCTGGCTCTTATGAAGCCCCAAGCTGAGTCTCAAAGGAGGAATTCTTTCTGGATAGAGGTGGGAGGACACAGGGGCCTTCTAGAGGCAAAGGGACAGACACCTTTAGCTGCTTTTTCCTCCCCACCAGACAGAGGACAGCTACTGGCCTTTTGTATCCCACCCCATTGGTACCTGCCATAGGTCCACACACCAAGCAGCCAGCATGGCTAAGAGCGTGACCTCCAGGGCTGGTGCACACTGTCCACTTGTCCATGACCTCTGGCACATTGCCAGACCACTCTGCCTCAGTCTTCTCATCTGTGGCCAGACAATGACAGTCACCCTCACAGGCTATGTTCAATGTGGCGTCCATGAGGACCTGCAAAGCATGGAGCCCACTGCCTGCTGCCCACCTAGGTTACCAACGCATGCGGCAGCCATGGCTGTGATTGTGGACAGATCAGCATTCCCTGCAGACCATCTGGAGGCTGAGTCAGGAAAGACAGGAGAGCTGGGAGCTCTCTGGGATTTGGGCCACTTGACCGAGCACCACAGCCAGGCAGCTAAACAGCAGACAGTCGCTGTCCCTTGTGTCAGGGTCCCTCAGTGACCTCACTTTAGTGTGATGATCTCCTCAAAGGTGACAGCACCTTCACAGCCATCAGCAAACACAGTCAGGCCTGAGGTCCTGGGGCTCGGGCTTTAGCATGTGAATCTGGGGGACAACTCAGCCCATATCAAGCACTGGTGGTGACACATGCGTCCCGGTCCTCTGGGTATGGTGGGGAAGGGAGGTGCCCAGTGCACCCCACCTCCTTCCACGGAATCCAGCTGTTGCCAGTCAGCCAGGCTTGGGGAAGAGCTGTGGACATGAGACATGTCCACAAAAGCAGCCTTTGCCACCCCTATGCCCACAGTCCCTGTTCCCCCTCACATGCTGCCCCACCGGGGGCCCTGTTACCTCAGCTGATTACCAGAAGCTCCTGTGCCCCTGCAGGTCCTGGGTCATGGCATCTGGCAGCTCCCTGTCCCCAGAGGGGTGAGTGCCTCCCAGCCTCCTGTGGTTCCCACGTACTATCCTGATCCTGGGGTCTGGTCCTGTCACTCTAGAGGGCTGCAGGCACTGTTCATCTCCAGCACTGTTCTGCATAGGGTGCCGGCAGGAGGCAGGGCAGGGAACTAGGGCAGGGTTGGCTGCATGAGAAAGCTCTTGGGGCACTGGTGATGTAAGGCTGCTTTGTGGCTCCCAGGTCCACTGTGGAAAAGGGGCCAAGTGCCTGCCTGGCTCTGCTGGGCCCGTGTGACCTCATGGGGCCTTGTGACCAGCCATGGATGGCCAAGCCGCAGGGA